GAACATTTCGAGCATTAATCCACTTGTGTGCACTCATAGGATTTTACTTGATGATCATGCAAAACCCATTAAGCAACCATAAAGGAGATTGAACTCATTGATTCTTGATGCAGTAAAGAGAGAGGTGGTGAAACTCCTTAGTGCTAGCATTATTTACCCCATTAGTGATAGTGAGTGGGTATCACCTACTCAAGTGGTACCTAAAAAGGGTAAGATCATGGTTGTGAAAAATGAGAAAGGGGAATTAGTGCCCATTAGAGTGCCAAATTCATGAAAGGTTTTCATAGATTATAGGAAACTTAATGATGCGACTAGGAAAGCCCATTTCTCTTTACCATTCATAGATCAAATGCCTGAGAGACTTGCTTACAAGTCTCACTATTGTTTTCTAGATGGCTTTAGTGGTTATTTCCAAGTGCCTATTGATCCTATTGACTAAGAGAAAACTACTTTCACTTGCCCTTTTGGTTTACATATAGAAGGATACCTTTTGGTTTATGTAATGCCTTGAGGACATTTCAATGTGCATGATGAATATTTTTAGTGATTTCATTGAACATTTAATGGAAGTTTTCATAGATGACTTCACAGTTTATGGGGATTCATTTTTACCTTGTAATGCCCTTACTATATTACCATACGCTCCGCTACAAAATTTCTAATTATTTTGAATATTTGAGTTGAAATTTGTTGAAAAAATTGGGATCCTAAAAAAAGATTTTCAAAAATCTTTATATGATTTACATGAATATAAATCTTATTATACACAGCGGAAGTAATAAAGCATTGTGTGTCAAGAATCTAGAAAACATGTGTATCACTGAAAAATAAAGCAAAAATTGGCACCGTGTGCCATAGCTCGTGCCACATGCGCCACGACATATGGCACAGAGGCCATAATCGCTCGCTCTGTGCCGTGTGCCGTCTCATGCGAGTACATGCGCCATAGCACGCACAGCTAAATTTCTATCAAATGGTAGTTTCTGATATAAAATTTAGATGCACACCATTTCTACATATGAAGTTTGACTGAGATGGTTTAAGTGCCTTCACGAAGCTCATTTTGAAGTCTAATTAACGACACTAGTTTCATCCTAATACAATATTTCTATTAAAAATTAGACACTAAAGTGAACTTTAACCATTTTCTATAAAATTTTTTGTCACTTAAGTGTCTTAATTCGAAACTAATTGTCAATTAGTCTCTTGTAGGGCCTTAACCAAGTTCAAATGGACAAAACACACTTAATTGACCATACACATGCACAATATAACACATATACACAAATTTGGCCTGTAAATCACCCATTGCTCCCTTCAGGCTAAATTCACATTTCCTTTCTTTGATCTCATATATGGCCAAAACACTATAAATAATCTCCACCCATCTCATATTCACACATAATTATATCTATCCACTAGCCCAACCGGTCATTTCATTTTTCACACATTTATAAGGCTAGGGAGTTCAAAATCACAAAACATACTATAATCATATCTTATGCACATGTACAAATTGTATGGCAACTTATACATATACAAGACTAATATCAACCAAATTCATTACACTATATCTTATAAAGATTTAGGTGAGAAATGTCAACTTAGCTATATCTTTTCCCTTTGACCTACTAGTACCAGAATCTAAAAATGTAAATAACCACGGGTGAGATAAAAATCTCAGTAACCAAATATAAATCATTAAATATCTATTGCCATAAATAACCATGCCAAAGTAACTGAAATCATCATATAGCACATATATACATAGTATATTATAGCTAAATTATCACTTTCGCATATAAATCACATTTCAAATACTTTTACACCTTAGTATGATCAACTATCCATTGATTCTTTAAAGCTCCCCGACACAAAACCATAGGCTCTTCTGGATTAACCACTTGTTGACTCGAGCTTACTTTCAGTGGTAGAAATACTCGGCCAAAGGTAATCTATCCCACCTACAGATTATGGCTTTCCCTCTTCACACACTTGTGATAGAGGTATCGTTGACTCCTAACCATACCTTAACGGGCACTAAGGAGTTGCTAGACTACTTGGATGTCCTATGGTAATAGTCCTATAATATGCTATACCAAATTACCCATGGTAATAGCCCGTATAATGCTGCACTAGATGTTTCATGGTGCCAACCTGACTATATGGAATTTTATACTCATATCTTCACATACACACAACCCCACACATGTTGGGTGAACTTCCACCCCTTTTGATTATACTCTTTCAAAACTTTCACTATTTATACACCTTTTCACAACACACATGCCAACACACACACACACACACACACACATATCCATTGAAATCAATAACTTTTCAAATTCATTTCACAATGCAAAATTCATGCTAAAATCATTTCAATAACAATCACGCATAAAACTCATAAGTTCACATTTTATCATTTGATATTCACTTCTACATAGTTATAATATTTAATAAACATAATAAACTATATAGTTACCTCAAACCTTTTGTTCAATAGAAAGGGTTACCCGTGTAACTTCAACCCTATTCAAGCTCTTTTCTCATAATTCGTGCATCACACACTATAATGTACATAAAATTGGCATTCAAAGTCAATTTCTCTATTAACCAAAAGTGCCAATTATTGCATTTAAACACTTAATCGTTATCAAATCCATATTTCACACTCGATTATGTACATTACCACTAATTACCCCTTATTTCAAGCTTTAACATTTTCCAGCAATTTTCTCTCACTACTCTCTCTCTAGATTAGGGCAATTTTTGCCTATAGCTTTAAAACTTTATTGTTTCAACTACAACCAGTCATAAAGTACTAGTTTAGTTCCAAAGAAAATTTTTATTACTATTGGGTAAGAAATCAACTCCTTAAAACTCTTGAATTCACTTTATCATTAGTTAAAACTAAGAGAAAATAGGGTAGATTTGGAGGTTAAGGTAGTATATGACTTACCTGATAAGTAATGAGTCAAAGGCACTACCCTTGCTCCTGATTTAGCTCACCTTATCACACCCTTAGCTCTTCTCCATACTAGACCTCTCCTCCCATATTTCTCCCTTATGTTTTTCAAGCTAGACACATCCCTATTAATCTAATTTCTGCTCCATGCACCACAATGCATCTATCACCCACCACGGAACATGGCACAGTAAGGAAAATCCTCACTATGTTCACATGCTTTGCTTTGGGACTCTGCTCTTTTACTCATATCTATTTATATAACATCCTAATGAATTAATATAACACTTCATCACTCAGAATCCTAATCCCACATTAGATCACTAATTCATCCCTAATTAATCATTAACGCAGGATTAAAAATTTGAGATGTTACATATCTTGTCTTGCATCTTTAGATAAAGTGTTGAGTAGGTGCATTGAGAAAAAGCTTGTCCTTAATTTTGAAAAGTGTCACTTGATGGTTAATAAGGGCATAGTTTTAGGTTATCACATTTCATCCAAGGGAATTGAGGTTGATAAGGTAAAGATTGAGGTCATTACTTCTCTTCCTTATCCAACTAGCATTAAGGATTTAAGATCATATTTAGATCATGTGAGATTTTATAGGAGATTCATCAAAGGGATTTCACAAATTGCATTGTCCATGACCAAGCTTTTGCAAAAGGATGTTGCATTTGAGTTTGATCAAGCTTGTAAGGATATATCTAATTACTCGAAAAGTTTGCTTGTCACATCTCCTATCTTGTAAGATCTTAATTGGTCATTGCCTTTTGAATTATCTTGTGATACTTCTAACTTTGCTATAGGTTTTGTGCTTGGACAAAATGATGGTAAGCTTTCACATGTTATAGCATATGCATCTAGGACACTTGATAGCACATAAGCTAATTACACTACAACCAAAAAGGAGCTTCTTGCCATTGTCTTTGCACTTGATAAATTTAGGTCTTATTTGATTTGTTCCAAGTGCATTGTTTATAGTGATCATTTCACCATCAAGTACTTGATGAAGAAAGCCGAAAGCAAACCAAGGTTAATTAGGTGGGTGATTCGTATACAAGAATTGAACTTGGAAATTAGGGATAGAAGTGGTTCAACTAATGTGATAGCTAACCATTTGTCAAGGTTTCCACATCTTGAGGATTCATTAGTAACTTCTCTTGTTGATTCTTTTAGGGATGGTGTTCTTTGTGTTATATCCACAAAACCACCTTGGTATGCTTGCGCGGCTAATTATCTTGAGTGTGGTGTTTTGCCTAGTGATTGGTCTAGGTTTAAATTGAACAAATTGAGAAGTGAAGCTAAGTACTACATTTGGAAACCACCTTTTTTATAGAGAATTTATAGTGATAAAGTACTTAGAAAATGTGTTGATGATTATGATATGTCTTCTGTACTTAAAATTTGTCATTCTCATATATGTGGAGGACACTTTAGTGCCAAAAGAACATCTAGGAAGATATTGCATTGTGAACTTTATTGGTCATCTTTGTTTAAGGATTCTTTTGAGTTTTGTAAAAATTGTTTGAAATGTTAAAAAGTCTCAAGTTAGAGAAAAAGATATGAAATGACTCAAATGCCTATTCTATTTTATGAAATATTTTACATTTGGGGTATTGATTTTATGAGACCTTTTCCTTCTTCATTTGAGAATAATTATATCTTGTTGTGTGTTGATTATGTTTCCAAGTAGATTGAGGCTATACCTACTCACACTTGTGATGCAAGAGTTGTTGTGAAATTTCTCAAATCTTTCATTTTTTTTATAAGTATGGAGCCTAAAGCACTAGTGAGTAATCAAGGCTCACACTTTTGCAACAAAGTCCTGAAGGCTCCTTTGACTAAATATAAGGTCAAGCATAAAGTTGCAACACCTTATCATCCCCAAACTAATGGTCAAGCTGAGATCTCTAATAGAGAAGTCAAAGCCATTCTTTCAAAGGTCATCAACACAAATAGGAAGGATTGGTCATTACATCTTGAGGATGCACTTTAGGCATATAGGACAGCCTTCAAGACACCTTTAGGGATGTCACCTTTCCGTCTTGTCTATGGGAAAGCATGTCATCTATCGATTGAGCTTGAGCATAAAGCTTATTGGGCAATCAAGATGCTCAATATGGATGAGGAGCTTATGGCTAAAGAGAAGTTCCTTCAAATTCAAGAATTGGAGGAGATGAGACTTGATGCATTTGAGAACTCAATGATCTATAAGGAAAAGACAAAGCTTATCTATGATCAAATGGTTCTTAGAAAGGAATTCCATATTGGTGATCTAGTTCTCTTGTACCAAACTAGATTTATTCATAAGATTGCTAAACTCAAGTCTAAATGGGAAGGTCTTTTCCTTGCAACTAAAGTTTTTCCATTTGGAGTGCTTCAACTTCTTCATGAGCCATCATCATCCACTTTGCAAGTCAATGGACATCTTTGCAAGCTCTTCAAGAAAAGGCAATGAAGAAGCTAAGGAGAAGCACAATTTTGAGCCATCATGAGGAGCTTCAAAGGTTGTATCCATCCTTGCTTATTGCTTGAATTTTTTTGTACACATAGCACACAAGTGAATACACCTATTAGTAATGCTTGCTGCCACTTTTCACACATATGGAGCACTTTTCTTGCATGTATTTGTGCTTTGTTTATCTCTTGTTCAAGCATAAGTGTTGGGGGGTACAACCAATCTCATTAGTTTAGAATTTTTAGTTTTATTTCTTTTGTTTTGTTCCGTGCTAGGAAATAAGTTGTGCCTAAAATTTTGGTGAGTTTGGTTTGGTCAATTTGCCATTTTTAGGTGTTTATTTGGTCGTTTTGTTTTCAAATTTGAAAACAAAAATTTCATTTTATAGAGATTGACAATTCTCTGTTTCTAATTTTTTTCCTTACATTTAAAAAATTCACTGGGAACAATTCTTGTAGAGTTTTGACCTGGAATTTATTTCATTTGAAATCTACATGTATTAGCTTCAATTTAAATTTGATTTGATCAATTTTGGATGTGAGGAGTGTTTTATGAATTTTCTACAAGCTATCATGGTTTTGGGAGCCTTTATAAAGGATCCTAAAACCTTGAGGCAATTTTGCATCAACATATCTCTCACATTGTGTGTCCCATTTGTTTGGTTCTAGTTCCATTTTTCTCCTTATTGTCTTAGTTCTATTTCTTTTTTTTAGCATTTTTTTGATTTTATCTTTGTCTTGTTGCAAAATTTGTTGGAGTCTCATAAGGTCTATTGGACAAATTTCTATTTCTCCAGAACTATGTACCATTTTGTAAAAAACTTTTGGGAAGAAATGGGGTGGAATTTTAAGCTAAAATTTTTATATCATTTTTCTACGTGTCACTTATATGTCTCATAAATTTTCATAGGAATTTCTCATGTGAATCTTCTTTTATAAAATTCACAAGTTCACTTCCCCCAGAGAGATATTTTCAGGATTTCTAAAAAAGTCACATTCTTAGTATTTTCGGTTCTATGACCTTATTTGCTCCCAAAAAAATTTTCTCTTGCATTTTTCATACATTCTTTCATGGCATTAGTGTCTTAGGACATATTTGAGCATATATTAAGGACAATGCATGGTTTAAGTGTGGGGGTAGAGGATAAAATTAGTTTTCTTTTTGTTTTGATTTGAAATTTTTTTGGAAAATTATAAAAATTTTGTTTTAATTTGTCTTGGGAAATTTAAAGCTATTGTTTTGGATTTTGGAATATGAACTTTTAAAATGATGTTGCCCTAATTTTTGTATTTTATGAAGCAAGTTTTCTATTAGGCTATGTGCATTTGATTAGAAAAGCAAAATTAGCCAACATGAAAGGAGCCTTCAATCAATGAGAGTTATATGTTTAGTATTTGCACACTCTAGACCTTGTCTTTCCTCTTAATTAAGGGTAGATCATTGCATTTTTTGTAGAGAAAATGATTTTGGCATTCATATAAAAAGCACAAGGACTTTTAGCTAACCCTAATTTGATTAGTTATTTCTTATTAGCCAATTTGAGCCTTTCTTCTGTTTCATTCATTTGTAAACACTATTGCTTTGTTTTTTCATGGATTGCATGTACTCTTTTATAGTGTTCTTCAATGTCCTTAATTTTCTTTAGTTTAACTTAGTGGATAAACTCATCCCTTCATCATTTTCCTGCTTCTATTCTATTTTCTTAAAGTAACAAGTCTTATTTTATGTGATTCTTATTCTTGAACCCAAGACATTTCAAGGCTTTTGTATAAGAGAAAGAAAAAAAAAAGGAAAAGAATGGAAAGAAAAAAAAATATATTTTATGTGTGTGTGTATGTGTGTGAAGAAAAAGAATAGAAAAAAAAATAAAGAGCAAAAGAAAGAAAAGAAAAGGTTGCCAAAAAAGAAAAAAATTAAAAATAAATAAAGAAATTGAGAGAAGAAAATAAAGGGAATGCAAAAGTAAAATGTTAGATAGGGAGGCACGGCGGAAGATTAAATTTTGAAGTTCCTATCTTAATATGGACCAAACGAACTCCTTTAAGTCAAGATGGATAGAAGAGTTACCTTTTAATTCTTCAAACTTGGTGCACGTTCTCTTCAAGATTTTAGATCTCAAGTGCTGATAATGTAGATCTGCTCTCTCTACTGAATTTTATTAGCCACCACTAGGCCAATTTCCAAATCATATAATTTTTAATCAACTAAAAACCTTCACTTAGTATTACCAACTTTTACAATTAGCCCATATAATGAAAACCAAAGTTTAATTTAAATCTTATTGGATTCAAATAGCACAATTATAACTAAATAAATAGGCTCAAACTATTGAAGAGTGAAATCCAATCTCTTAAGGTTTGAATTTTGCCCAAAACTACCTTCTCTCATCCAATTACCCATTTAAAATACTAGAGCACCATATACAAACTCAAAACATTCTTCTTAAGACCCAAGAAAACCAAAGCTTGCAAGAACAAAGCTTTTGGGATCAAAATCTAAAATTTAACTCTTCAAAAAACTCAAGAAAATCAAAAGGGAACAAAGAGGATTAAAGTAGGGAGTTTACCTATCATGTAGTTGAGCTCACAACAGCCATAAAGCTTCCAAGATCCGAATCTAACTCCCTCTCTTCTTCCTTTCTCTCTCTCTCTCTCATGCTCTTGTTCGCTGCTTCTTTGCTTTTTTTTTTTGTTTCTGCATGTTTTTTCCCTTTAAAAAATTGATCTAAACACATTAAGGAGAATTACAAGGAAGGGCCCAACATTTTTTTATTATAGAACAAAAAGGTAGGTCAACTTTGATAATTTTTTACATAGTTAAAAATAGAATAAAACCAAATTTTTACTTAGTAAAATTCAAACTCTAGACTTCTATCAAATTATTCTTAATTTTAATTTAATTATAAATATTTTATTTTAAAATAAATTGAAGTCTTAAAATTTTTGAGATATCACATAAATAATGTCACACTATGGTTAAATTGATTATTTCATTAAATTCTTAGATAAGTGGATTAAATGAAGAAATGAAGATATATGGCAAGATTATTTAGTGAGTCACTTTGAGAGATGAATTGTAACAACCCGAAATTTTAAGACTCGAATTTATTTAAAAAATAAAATAAAATATCTATAATTAAATTAAAATTTAGAATAATTTAATAGAGGTCTAGAGATTGAATTTTACTAAGCAAAAGTTGGGTTTTATTTTTTTTTAACTATGAAAAAATTTTCCAAAGTTAACCCAGGCTTTTGTGCTATAATAAAAAATGTTGGGCCCTTTCTTGTAATTTTTTCTAAAGTCTTATATCAGCATTTTAAAGAGCAAATTGAACACAGAAACAGAAATGAAAATGCAAAGAAGGAAGGAAATGCACGAGAGAGAGAGAGAAAGGAAGAAGAGAGGAGAAAGAGAGGGAGTTAGGCTTGGATTTAGGAAACTTTACGATCGTTACGAGCTCGACTACACAATAGGTAAACTCCCTACTTCAATCCTCTTCCTTCCCTCTTGATTTTCTTCAATTTTTGGAAGAGAAAATTCCTGAATTTTAATCCCAAAGGCTTTATTCTATAAGCTTTGGTTTCTTTGGATTTTAAGGAGGATGTTTTGAGTTTCTATATAGTGATCTAATATTTTGAGTGGATAATTGGATGAAAAGAGGTGTTTTGGGCACAAATTAAACCATGAGAGGTTGGGTTTTGCTCCTCACTAGTTTAAGTATATTGATTTAGTTATAATTTTGCTATTTGAGCCCAATAAGATTTAAATTAAGGTTTAGTTTTCATTATAAGGGCTAATGGTGAAAGTTAGTGACACTAAATGAAGGTTTTTAATTGATTAAAAATTATATAAATTGAAAATTAGCCTAGTGATGGCTAAAAAATGGTTTAGGTGGTTAAGTAGTATTATGTGAATAGTTGGTTTAATATATGAACCATTATGATGGATTATGACTCATCGACACAAGTTGTGTGGTATGAGTTATAGTCTTTATTAACGCTATTTGTCATGATAAGTGATGTGGATGATAAGTAATGTGGATCACTTATATGTTGTAGGGAATTATTGGTAGAACTTATTGAGAAATTAAGGAACAAGTCAAGTCCTATTATGTATAAGAGGAACCCTTTTGGTACCAAAGGGTTAAGGTAACAGGGAAATTTATATTTCTTATTACTTTGTTTAGCTATTTTTGAATAAATATTACTAGCTATCATGCATTACATATTTTAAAAGATTAAATGTGCTTTATAAGGGGTTATAGGATACTACTTTGATTATAGTGCAAATATGTTTTCTAATTGTTTAATAATAATGTTTTTATGGAAACGAGATTCATTTGCATGTATTGTAATTATAAAGAATAGACGTTGCACTTAAGAAAGTGTAACTAAGGTACCTTAGATAGGCTAAGGAACCGTTTAAGGGATATTTATAAATGTTATACTACCTTAGAGTGTTGAAGTGGTCCATACTCAGGAAAGGTAGACATGAGTAAAAGGCATGATCTCAATGAGAATTTACCAATGAGAAGGTATAGACTTTTGATATTTTATGGCACACTGCCAGTACTCAGTGTTGCCTTACATATTATGGGCTCAGTGCACTAAAATAGTTAGGATATTGAGTGTTCAACACCTCTCAATAGGGAAGAAAATCTGACATATGAAGTGTGACATTGAGTACCTAGGACAAGGTAGCCCTCACATGGAGAGTAAGTCGAGCTAGCTCTCAGAGGGAGTTAACTTCGACTGCTTAAGATTCATGTCGAAGGGGCATAGGCAGTTCGGTAGATTAGATCATGCTTTAGATTATGTTTTGTGCCTATAGATGTACAAGTGGGTTTAAGGTTTACCTGCGAGTTAAAGAGTGCCGAGGGGCATTCTGTTGGTCATGAAAGGCCATATCGGCCTATGTCATGCATTTATGCATTTTAAATGGTAAATTATATGCTATATTGAATTTATTATTCGTTTATTCGATTATGGCTTACTTTGTAA